GGGGGGACAAAAAGGGGAAGGGGCTAAGGGAGACATAGGAGTCCTTCGTCCCACACTCTCCTATTGGCTCTCTTTAGTGCAGCTTCCTTCCCCCTTAATGAGTTGGAAGACTGGGAGTAAGGGGGAGGGCAGGAAGGGGAGCACTCTGTGCTTTGTACACCCAGAAGCATCCACCACAGGGAAGGTGTCTTCCCTGGGTTCAGGCAGTCAGTGGAATCAGTCGAGATCTGGGCATTTCCTGGGGACTCGCTGGGAGCTGTCCAATATGCTGCACCTCAGACCGTGAGTTCTCCCAGTGATGGGGAGAAGTGTTGTTTCAGAGGAAAGCAGAGAAAAGGTTTGCTGAGTATCAAAACCCTGGCCTTTTGGAATTCAAAGCCAAAGGCCAGAGAGGTGTCAGGATATATAAGAGCTGTGCTGTCCAATCCACTAACTACGTGCGGCTATTCAAACTTAACTTGAAATTAGTTAAAATGAAATAAAGCTAAAAATTGTAGTTCTTCAGTATGACCAGTCACATTTCAAGTGCTCAATAGCCACACGTGGCTGGTGACTAACATATTGGACAGTGGAGCTATTATAGGACATTTCCATTTTCACCGAAAGTTCTATGGGACAGTGCCTCATTAGAAAGAAAGGCATGGCATTCTGTCTGTTCTGAGAGACAGGCAGAGATTTTGTCTGTTTTGTCCAGTGCTCTTGCCCTACGGCCCAGAACATTGCCTGGCACTTTGGAGAATGATCAGTAAATTTTTGTTGAAGGAATACTAGAGACATTAGAGCCAGTTTTCCATCACTTCTATCCCCTCACCCAACTGATTTCATCTAGATAGAGTTCAACCAAACTGGGGAGAAAGAAAAGAAAGAGGAGAGAACAGGAGAGAGGGGATCTTAATTATCTGTGGATAAATCGCTCAGAAGAGCTCTGAGCCTCCGCTGGCTCCTACTTGACATAGTTTGGGATTTGGAGGGGGTGGCAAAGGAAAAACCCAAATGGGTTGGTGAATCCAAGAGCAAGAGGAGTCTTGTGCCTGCTCCCAAAAATGCACATTGTGCCCAGGTAGGGGGTCTGGGACACTTTTCAGGATTTCTGCTCATCCCAGGTCCCAGCCTGGTTTGTGGAATTGAGGAGTGACTGAATAGCAAGGAAGAGGTGAAGGGCCTGAGAGAGCCCAACTGAGCTCCCTATGGCTCCAGAGAGGCATGGAAAGTAGAGGGAGGGAAAGGAAGAGGGAGGGAGAGGAACACTGTGCCTGGGAAGGCCTGGGATAAGGCTGAGGGGGATGCACATGCACTCTGTGTGAACTCACAGCCCAAGAGCAGACAGGATCCAGATGTCTCAGTGGACACCAGAGAGGAAAAGTATTGATGACCAAGCACTGGAAGTCCCTGATCCCCTCCCCCCACATGCCTCTGGCACATCGGGAGCCCTCTAGAAAACTAGAGGCACCATTGGAGGAAAATGGCTGGGTAGTCCCTACATTAACAGGGATTTAAGTCCTTACTACCTGATGGAAAAGGGGCTGGAAGCAGAAAGTGGATTTGATTGTAGAAAAGTAAGGAAGTTAACATTTCTTGGACATCTAAGTTCGCATCCTGACATTTATACTCACTATTTCAGTATTGTTTGATTTTTTTAACAATGAGAATATAAGCATGTATTATTTATATAAATTAAAAATGATTTTTTGTATGATTCCACTTACATGGGGTATATAGAGTAGTCAAATTCACAGAGACAGAAAGTAAAATGGTAATTGCCAGGGGCTGGGGACAGGAGGAAGGGGAGTTAGTGTTTAATGGGTATGCAGTTTCAGTTTGGGAAGATGAAAAGTTCTGGTGATGGACGGTAGTGATGGCTGCACAACAATGTGAATGTACATTTTAAATGTTTAAAATAGTAAATTTCATGTTATGTATATTTACCACAGTAAAAAAAATGAATGTAAAAGAGAAAAAATTATTGTTGCAAAGTTACTGTAACAGCTTTGATTCCGGATGTTTCCTGAAAACTGGCATGGTTCATATTCACTCCATTACCACTTCTAGCTAACATAGGCCCATCTGAGGCCCCTAGATTTGTCAGCAAGGCCCTATTTCTGGGTGCTTACCTTTCTTGCAAGAAAACAGTTTGCCACTTCCTTCTCAGCTTGGTCACACACTCTCTCGGTGGCCCTCTTGTTGCAGATCCCAAAAGAGAGGTCAGTGGACAGCTTGGGCTCTGTCCTAAACACCAGGAAATAGGGCCTAAAACCAGTGACACCATCCTGGGGGCACAGTAAGCACCCTAGCTCTGCATGCCTCTGTTCCTGGCACACAGTTCTCTGCATATCTAACAAAGTTCTACTCAATCTCTTGGTTTGGGGTCCTCTTGAGGATGGCAGGAAGAAGTTGTATTCTTTTGGAAGTCTTTCAACAGAAACATTTCCCTTAGCAATTGACTCTCTCTCTCTCTCTCTTTGGCAGTGGAAGCGTGGAGTCCTAACTACTGGACCACCAGGGAATTCCCAGTAGTTGACTCTCAAAATCTCTCCTCTAGTCAGAATAGATTCCATTAGGGAGACTGTAAACGGAGATGATGAAAATTCTTCCAATCAGCAGGTGTTTCTTGAGCACCTCTGTGTGTTCAGCATCGCTGCAGGAACTTTGGATAAGTATATACTAGAGAAATAGCATCTGGTCATGGAAGTAGAGTTTCCATATCAGAAACAATCAGAAAAAAAAAAATTCCTAATCTGTGGTGCTGTAAAAGAGCAATGCAGTCTGGCAAAAGGCCAAGGCAGGCTTCCCAGCAGGGATGAGCCTAGAGCGGGGCCCTGAAGGAGGGCTTGGATTTGGATAGGAAAGAGAGGCAACAGGGCATTTGAAGGAAGCCACGCACAAAGGAAGTAGGAGCAGACTGAAGGTTGTGTGTAGAGAATTTGTTATGATTCATTCCTGGAGTATGTCCTGTGTGCTCAGGCATGACACTAAGCAATGGAAAACAGACCACCTGTCCTCAAAGAGCTCTAGCCTGGGAGGTGGTGAATGGGGGGAGACACTAAAACAAATACGGGTGATGTGTATTAGTCCACAAGAATGTTAAGCCCCCAGAAAGTAGAAACCTTATCTGTCCTGTTCATCACTGTATCCTCAGTACCTAGAACAGTACTAGGCACAAATTAGGTGCCCAATAAGTGCATACTGAATGAAGGAATGCTACAATGCAGAGATAGGATAATAGCAATATTGATAGTTACCATTTATTGAGCACACAAATGTGCCAGACAATATGCAAAGAGTTTTACATACATTATCCTATTTGATCATCCAGCATTTTGAGAGTACTATAATTATCTCATTTCACAGATTTGGGAACCAAAGCTTATAGAAGTAACACTTGGACTTCCCTCGTGGTCCAGTGGTTAAGTCTCCACACTCCCAATGCAGGGGGCCCGGGTTCCATCCCTGTCAGGGAACTAGATCCCTCAGGCCAAAACGAAGATCCCGCCTGCTGCATCTAAGACCCAGTGCAGTCAAATAAATAAATATATACATATGTGTGTGTATATATATATATATATATATATATATATATTTTTTTTTTTTTTTTAAAAGAAGTAACACTTGCCTTAAGGTTACCTAAACAGCAAGTGACCGAAGGGAGATTTGAATTCATGACTGCCTAACTTCACAGTCCATCCTCTGAATATAGAGTCTACTGTTCAAAATTCTGTTTAGGGAAGTTTTTCTGGTAGCTCATTGAAATATGCCGGGAAAGGCCCAAGAAAGCGAGACCGTCGCAATGAAAAACAGCAACCGCAACGTGTATGAACTAAAGCGGTTACAGTGGGAATGGAGAAGAAAGGATCTACTTTTGCGGGGCCTTAAAGGGCTTCTAAAGAAAGTTCAGGGCTTCGTGACTTATTGGATATAGGGGATGACTAAATTTCTCGCCTGGGAATACGAAGAATAGCCTCGAGAGAAATAGCTTTTCTCTAATTCCTAGTTCGACAGTACACTTTAGATAGATGACCCTAATCTCTGTGTCTGCCAGTTCCGCAAAGCACTTAATCAGGTGCTGGTCATCTACAGTAACGGCAAGCCAGCTTGAAAAGTCACTCTAGATTGCAGAATAATAAAAGCGTGAAAGAAAGAACAGGAAAGAAAGAAAGAAGAGCGTGGAGAATACACACACAAGCCTGTTCCAGGAGCTGTCGCATCCCGGAGGCGGGCGGGTACTACAAAGGGAAAGGTGGGGCTTGTCTACGAACTACAACTCCCAGAAGGCATCGGGCAGATCACCAAAGTTTCCGTCCAGAGCTTACTTCCGGTCTTTCTGATGCTGACGCTCTCTTCCGGTTTTGGCGGCTCCCCCCCCCCCC